TTTGATTGCAAAATTGGTTGCCCAATTAAAAAGGGCCACCAAAGTGCTAGATAAGGGAAAGCGAGTTTCCTTCTAATCCATTCTCTTGCTGTAAGGCTGGAACCTTGTTGGTAGCATTTCTCTGCACTCTCCCACAGGATAATGAGGAAAGGAATCAGTGGGCACTAAAAACCTATTATAACACTTTCTCTACTTTTACGATCCACAATATGCCACGGTTTTGCTTGTGAAAAAGTCTTAAGTCTCAGCGAGTGGGTCATCTCAGCCATAAAATGTCTGGAGACTTATAGTCCGTGGCTATAAACTCAACCTCTTCCTGGAGGGTGAAAACAACACAGAGGCATTTCAGAGGCACGATTCACTGCATTTACAATTTTATGGATTTCTTGTTTTGAAAGGGAGAGGTTTGATGCTCGACTAGGCCAGTGTATCAGTCTGGGGGGGAAAGGTAGCCAGATTACTTTTCCTTTGGGTTGGGGGCAGGGGGAGAGAAAACATTTTGCAAATAGTTCCAGTGTCCTGTCAGGGACCTTGTTAAGATACAGATACAGCACCCGTCAGATATAACGTGTTCTAACTGATATTGGGGCTCCGGTCGAGTTTATTTGAGTTTATTTGAGTACTTCCGTGTTAGCGTATTTCAGCTAGAGAAGTACAACAACAACAACTTGGATTTATATAGCACCCTCCATGCCGGACGGCGTCTCAAAGTGCTTTGCAGTAATGGATACAGTCAATTCTGTGAAGATCCTTGCAATGTCGCAACAACTTGATTGGGCTCTATATCAAATGTAAGGATTATTATTATTTCTGTAGAGTAAATCCTCTGCCCTGCTCCCTGACAACAGGGCCTGTGTTGGGATTACTCTGCAGTGTTGCCATCATCAGCCTACGCCAAAAGCCAGCAAGACAAACGTTCCCTCCCTGTGGCCGTGTTATCCCTGTAAAGCACGTGCGGACGCCAATCCCCCCCCACCACAACCCACAGGCTTTTCACTGCAGATTGAGCACATTCTCCCCACATATGTAATCACTCCACAGTAGCTGCCCATGGTAGAGCTCAAAGACATTTCGAGGTGGTAAGCTGCTGTTGAGAAAAAATTTCTATCTGAGTAATCCCAAACGGGTTGTAAGACTTGGCTTTAAAACATCAGTTGTCTCGGCCGGTGACAAAGGTAAAACATTTGCCCTGGAGCTTTTGAACCCTCTGAATCTCGAGACCCAAACAATGTGTTTATGAAGCAGTTCCAAAGTGGATGAGGCTTTTTCTCTGAATGTTTACAATGCCTCTGGGTGATATGCAAAGCCGTCTAAAAGGTTATGGTGCCGGCAGATATATGGCCATGAAAGGCATGACAAAGTTGCACCAAGATCAACTTTTCGGTCAGATCGAGTCAAGCAAAATAAATCCCACAACCTAGCCCAGCTCCATTTTGTTTTGAGAAAACTCATGAGTGATAAAAAGTGCTATTGGATTTTTTCAAGCGTTAAGATTTTATGGGGATTTCACTGTATGCAGGAACTGCAGAGGATGTTTTGTAATGTTGCTCGACTGGCCCTGGCTCCTGCTCGAACCTCGCACCCTCCTCCCCACTATCGGAGGTCGTGCTTTCAGCCACTACGTCCCGAAACTCTGGACTCTCCCTCAATCCCTCCGCCTTGCCCCCCCTTCTCCCCTCTTTCAAGTCCCGCCTGAAAACTTTCCTCTTCGACTGTGCTCAGAATCAGGCTCCGCCACTGTTAAGCGCTCTGAGATGCTGCCCTGTGTAGGCCGTTATATAAGTGCAAATTGTTGTAACCTTTATTATACAGTGGAAGTCATAATGTTTTATTTGCTTAATGTTGATTTTATTTTGGTGGGAAAGAGCAGGTTGGGAAATGGGTCGGTGGCAGGGGGGAGGGGAATTCTTGTGGGGGCTCAGTGAGTTACAGTGCTTTGATAATAATAATAATAATAATCCTTGCATTTGATATAGCGCTTTTCACGTCGGGAGGACGTCCCAAAGCGCTTCACAGAACACACTGTAAAGTGAATTGACTGTATATTTGTGGGCGAACGCGGCAGCCAATTGCGCACAGCAATGTCCCACAAACTGTCGTGGATTGAAAATGACCAATTTATTATTGTTTTTGATTTTGGAGGAATTATTATTAGGCTCTGTGTGGAGTAAGGAAACTTGCCCAAGGTTTCGCCCTCTGCCTGGAATTGAACTCAGGTCTCTCACTTGCAAAGCGAGTGCTCTAACCACTGAGCTACAGGACTCCACAAATCTTGATGCCAAGATATTAGCTCAACTCCAGCCCATAGCATCTGCCCTCACTGTATCCATTTGGGGTGGTCTCAATACAGTTCCTTGTGTCACAGCAGAATTGCATAGTATGTATCAGGTGATAGCAGCAATCAGCCTTGTAGGACAGAAATATCTCAGGTGGAGTCTACAGGGGAGAATGCTCTTATTACAGAGCTGAGAATGAAACACTGGTCAGGTGGTTCTTTGTCGCTGTAAAGCTGCCCGAATGAGAAGGTAGAGTCACCAGAGGGAGGTCTCAGGCCTCAGACCCCACCTTGTCTCAGTCCGGTTGACAGTTGGGTCTTAAAATGTAAGATTGTGCCGAACTGGAAAAACTCTTAGATTCAATCAAAATTGGGAAGTCGGTTCACGGACACTTGGGACATTACCCGCTTACAAGAATTTTCCACAATTTTGTACAACCTTAGATTTGAAAGCAGCAACGGTCTTAAGGCTAAGGCTAGTTGGTTTGTGGGTTGTGATGACATGAGGGTGAAGCAGCTCAGAGCCAAGTCATTGTTAGAAACACACACTGACCAACAGAGTGGTTCCTAGCAGAAAGAGCGTGCGTGTTTGTGTGTATTGAGTGTTCTGCTTCTGTGAGGGAAATTCTGCCAGAAACCAGAGTTCGCAATAAAAAAACTTTGCAATAATAATAATATTTGAATTTGATATTGTGCCTTATCGGTGAAATGCCTCAAAGCGCGCACAAATTCAGCAGTCACGACACTTCACAGAAAATCTGCACAGGATTTCACTGTAAAGTGTTGTAACTGTGTACTTGTAGGCAGATGATGAGAGTGCTGAACCCTGAGATCGAGACAGGTCACTGGGAAGTCAGACAGCAGCCTACATCCACAGCTCCCCTCAGCGCGGTGTCCCTTCACACAAACCTCGAGAGCTGAGCTGTAAATCACCACGGCTACGCCGAAACATTTCTGGGATGATATACAGGACTGAAAGTCAAAGGGATTTATATAGCCTCTTGTGCTCTCGAAATCCCCTTGTACGATTTGTATTTGTCTGTCACCAAAATCAAGCCCCTACGGTTCCATCGAAAAGAGCAGGTTATTTGCTCTCTATTCACATCACAGCGGCCTCTCTCTCCGCTGACCCCTCAGTTATTTAGTTTGGAGAAAATAGGCTGTTTGGACTCCCAGTGCAAACTGAGATTCTCTCCGGCAGTCATAGTGACAGGGGGAAGTTTCCCCTTTGATCCCAGGCCGAGGCACGGCTCAGTTGCTGGCAGGGAGCAATCTTCAAATACAGCCAGACAAAAGATGGCACATGAGCACAAAGAGTCATTTCAAGGGTTCTACAACTTAAATCAAACAAGAGCTGGAGATCGAAGGGCTGCCTCTGACAGGTCCCAGCGTCAAACTATTACCATGGTAATACTGATAAACAAACAGTCTCCCAATCTCATCATCCCTTATTGCCTTTCCAAGAAACATCAACAGTGAAATCTGATGGAATGGCAAACCTTGCATTTTTAATTGTCCGTGTGATGAAAATTGCTAAAACCACAGCTTGTCCAGACTTGACTCTTGGTTTCTCTCCCCTTCGCTCTCTCTCTCTCTCTCTCTCTCTGTGCCCATGTTCTCTCCCTTCCCTTCCCACCCGCCTGTCCGCCCTCTGAGGGAGGCTGACTCCATACAGCAGTGTGTTTCGGTGGCTGCTATCCCTCTATTACCTCGACCAATTGCCTATTCTTCATGTGTGAAGCAAGCAGCTGCTATTCAAGTCCAAGCCATTCCAATTCCCCCTCTCGCTTGCACTTTCCAGTAGGGTTATAATTGGGGCTGGTAGCCCCAAGCCCTGCCCCCCCCTCCCCATTCCAAGCTGAATTCTCGCCTTCTTTAGCACACAGCCACAGAGGGCAGTATGCAGAGAATAGTTGTGCTCCCACCACCCCCGCGCCCCCAGACTGCTGCCTGGCTAAGATCAGTAAACAACCCCCCCTCCGACCCCCAGCAGAGAACAGACATTGAAACTACATCCTCTCTGCTCTCCATCTCATTAACTGCCTGTCAACCAGTCCATCCAGTCTTTAAAGCCACTTTTTGTCTTAAAATGTATGATTGTGCAGAATTCTTAAATTCAGCCTGTGTTTAGAAGGATTCTCTCGCGCCCCCTGTTCCTAAAAAGCTTCCCAATTAAGCCCGAATTGAAAATTTTTCCACAATTCTGCCAATTTCTTAAATCTTAAGACAAAAAAGTCTGACAGCGAAGGCAAGATGTAATGTTGAACAGCACTGCTCTAATTCCTACCTGTTCACTGTGACCTGCCTGCCTGTAGGGGGGATTTTCGTTGTCTATTACCAATCGTTGTGCTTAGGAGCATCCAAACTGCCCTGAGAGTTCCATATATGTCCACCACCTACACACGCCAATTTCTCTGCGCCTGGAATGGAATGCGCTCTCTCTCTCTCTCACCTTGTTTACCTAATTCTGGAGAGCATTAAACTCAGGTTGGTCAAAGCCAAGGCTTGGGGCGGGCGTGTGGTGGAGGATAAGTCCTGGGAGTCTAAAGGGTTAACCTGGGATTGCTTGCCATTGAGATCACTGTCTGGCGAGCCTCCTGCTGCTTGTCCAGCTAGGATCTTCCTCCCCGTTAGATGTGGACCATGTCATTTTTCACAGCTTGAAGAGGGAAAGAATTTTCTGAGCGCATCAGACCCGGAAGCATTGTATTCACAACAAACTTACTGCTTAATTGGCTGTCCTGCGGGCGTGTGCTCAACTTCATAACCCGCTTGCCTCAAGACATCAATCACTGTGTTGTTGCCAAGGAAATGACCTGAAGTGAAATAAAAATAGTTACACTTTGGTTTGTGACATACTGCTATGGAGATTCGCCCAGCAAATAATATTGACTTGCAAATAACATCAACTCGCATACATAATAGTGCCTTATACATCAAACGACTGCCCCGTGACTACTGCTAAGTGGAGTGACTGTGCTTTTTGTAAGCAAGCGCGGCAGCCATTGTACACACGGCAAGTTCCCATGAGCAGCCAGGTAATGAATGGGCAATGTTATCTGAGGGGATTGTTGGTCAGGACATTGGAAGAAACTCCCTTCTCTCTTTGTGCAATCACTGGGGATCTTTAACATCCACCTGAACAGGAACAGACAGACAGTCGTTTAACAGTTGTTAAATTGAACGGACTTCAACTTAACGACTCATCTGAATAAACTAATGACTGTGGCTGACTGCAAGGTTAGGGAGATGAAGAGGAAACTGATGGTGACTTAGCTCCACTAAAAAATGGGCGGGGGGCGAGCAGTTGGTGGGTAGAGCACAACCATTCTCTTCTCTACACAAGCAGCCAACACCCCCCCCACAGACCATCATCCACAGCATAACTGAGTGTTCCTCATCATACAACACACAATGACATGCGATTGGCAGGGGTATTGTGATTGAAGCTAATTCATTGAAAATCTGAATTCTTCGGTCTCTTGCCATCAGCAAACTCTCAGTAGCTCTCAGTTAAGGTGAGGGACGCTGCCTTGAATAAAATACAATGAGAAGTGTCATCAGGGATAACGGGCTGGCCGAGGAAACAAACAAGAGTAATAATAATCCTCAGATCTGACCTCGTGCCTCAAAATGCCTCCAAAAAGGCTCTCGATTGCAGTGTCTGTGTGTGTTGCTCACATTTCCCCAGAGTTTAAGGTTTACGTTAAAATAATACTAAATCCTTGCATTGGACGTGATGCAACTTCCAAGTGCTTGGCATGAAATCGCTGTCAGGTGTAGTGACTGTGTGCTTGCAGGCCAAAAAGTAAACAATAGAGAAAGTGGAAGGAAGGGGAGGAAGGGAGAGAAATGTTTCAGTTCATCGACCTGATTGAATGCAGAGAGAAAAATGTCCAGCTCTGGTCAGCCTGATCTTAATGTGTGCTTAAGAAAAAATTATATATTTTTCTCTTCCCCCCCTCCCACCCCATAGAACACATGCACTGACACACACACACACCCTCAGTTCTGCCTTTGTTCGCTGTTTAGAATAATTCGGGAACAAATCCCAAACCCTATTATGTTAATTTATTGTGACGGCTGATGGAAGCTGTGGCTGTGGAGAGGTCAGTCTGACTCCCTGCCTGTGTTTGTCTGTGCGCGGCTGACAAACGACCGAGCCAAGGCGAGCACAGCCTGAATATCTCTCTCTGTCTCTCTCTCTCTCTCTGCCTCGCCAGTGTGTGGATGAATCATTCCGCCCGCTTTGGCTCTCATTATTCGGCAGAACGCAGCGAGACAAAGGGACACTAGAGGAGAAAAAACGCTCACATCAAAGGTTTGCTTCACACCCCTCCCCCTTTGAAGTTGAGCTGGAACCAGGCGCGGCGAATTTGTGAAGGTACAACTGAAAACTCGACCCCTTTTTGAGGTGGGGGGGGGATGTGTGAGGGCGGCGTGGGTGGGGGGGCAGAAAAGCCGATGCAAATTTATGTGCAATTGCACAAATATAAACACGGCCCTTGGGTCTGTAGTTTGTTAGCAATCCGGATGCAAATTGTCTGCTGTATTCACCTACAAATCACACAGTCGCTACACTTCAGGTAGAATAGTTAGGTGATTTATCAAATACAAGGTTTATTATTATTAACCTCCTCCTTCCCCCACACATAGACATTGCCACCACCACCCCCACCATACACATCCATAGATACCACACACACACACACACACATACACAACATCCCCACCAACACACACCACACCCCCACCCCCTCCCCCACACCCACACAAAATGGATCAAGCACAGTGTGCGATTGTTCAACTCTAGGTTGTCAGGTTTCTCCCCTGGTCTCTCCTATGTAACACAGCGTATCTAACACAGAGAGAGCACACCCATGCCAAGAAGTTGTATGCATTGGTTCTTTTCTAAAGTCTCGTCAAGAATATGCTACAAGTATGAAAGAACAGAGACAACTGATGATAGATAGTAGTGGAAAGAATTACTGGAAATGAGAAGCCTTTAGCTGAGCAGTCATTAAAGTGTATTGTGCATCTGCCTTTGAAGTTTAAACCAAATCCTGCATCAGCAAATTCATTGCTGATCTCTGTACAAATCCACAGCAACTGCTCGCCCGCAAGATCAAAGCAGACGCCTTATCAAATTCAGTGTTATCCTCCCTTATCTTGGCTTTTGCTGAACAATTGAGCAAAATGTCATCTCTTCAAACAACCAGCTTAAAAATTGTAAACCAGTAAAATAAATATCCTCGTGTTTCATGTAGCGCCTCTGATGTTGAGAACGTCGCAACGCGCTTCACCAAGTTTCTGCGGTCTGTAGAATGTTAATTTGTAGGCAAACTCGGCAGCCAATTTGCACACAGCGATGTCCCACGGCAGTGAATAATTTCAGCGAGGGATTGTTGGACAGGTCACCGGGAGAGACGCTTCTGTTTTCAAGTACTGTAGTGCCGTGGGACCTTTACCAGCCACCTAACAACAGGCTGACGGGACCTCGGTTTAACGTCTCATCCGAGGAAACGTGCATCCCAAACAATGCAGCATAACTTGCAGCGCTGCTTTGGAGCATCGGCCTAGACTGTGAGTTTAGGTCTCAACGTGGGGCTTGACCTTCTGACCCAGAGGCGAGCCAGGCCGACTGGCAGGTTGACTAAGAGGCGAGCCAGGCCGACTCTGATGCAGCCTGACAGATCCACCGATACAGGCAGAGAGGCAGCTTGAGACAGGCACCTTTACAGACCTTATCGATACCTGCCGCAACACAGCTCCGCCGGATCAAAGCTACAAGGTGGCAGGTCTACTTACCCAAAGCTGCTGTTTTGACTTTTCAGCACAAAAGGGCAACTAAAAAGGTAGCACTAAGGCGTGGTGACCTGGGGCCTTTAGTCAACCTGCCAGCTATTGTAACACTCAGAGAGCCTGAATACCCCCCAATGATCTTAGCAGCTGTGAAGTTCCGAGGGGAATGTGGGGATTCCGAATAGTTCAGAAACGCTTTGAAATGAAGACATTTGCGAATACCTGGGCTAAAGTCTTGTTACACCGCCTGCCAGATTACACTCCGACCGTTTCAAACTCTACGCTCGATTTGCTTTTCCCGTACAGCAGCAGCTTTAAGCATCTTTCAACACAGCCCCTCTCAAATCATAGTGCAGACAAGGACATAATGACACATGGATCTACTGATCCTCATGATAAGACAGCCACTGAACACAAACCTGCTTCACGGCAGGTGGCGTTGTGCTATGGAGGGCTGACCAAAAATAAAGAGAACAATTCTATCCCTTTTAAGAACACCCTGCCCCCAAGATAAGGCCATTGTGGAACCCTGCTCTAAACTATTGCTTTACAAGTCAAGAGAGCAGCAACACAACATTCTGTACCAGACAGATGATACAGAACTTCAATCGAGTCACTGACAATGAAATATTTTTATAGTATTCAAGGGAGGGCAAGCAGCACAGAGATTAGCTGCCCCACTGTAGATGAAGTGTGTTTTATTGTTAACTTTGCTTGGTGTAGCTCTGATCAGACTTAATTTATACGCCGTTTTCCAGACTGCAATGTAAACAGTACCGTTATCTGTTGATGTTCTCAGACATGAGTTGTGGGCTGTCTTGTCCCAATGTATACCAAAGCGTGACTAGGATGGATTGGACACAACTGGATAACTTTGGAAGCTATCTGTAGATATGCATCAATTCCTCAGAAGAGACCCATTTGTTTTGCAACGAAAGAACGCGTTTCATCAGCATTATTGTAACCCTTTTTAAGATCCTGCTCTGCGTTGGTTTATTTGTTGTTCCACAGCTTGTCACAAAAGGCTCCAGAGCTTTGAAGCTTTCCTGGTTATTTTAACATTAAAGGCAAAATGTTAGGTCAAAAACTTTGTCCTGGCCAATACCACGACCTTCCTAAAGGTCACAAATCCTAAACTTACATTGATGATTTTGATTGTATCCAAAGCCAGGGAATGGGGGAAAATCAGGTTGGAGGGTTAGGGGAATGGGAGATCTAGTTTGTGGTATTTCTTAGTGAAGAAATTGGATTTTGCACATAAGTAACCAGAACAACAAGCCAATCCTATTCTGTGTTAGCAAATCTGACCACTCCCAACACAGTGGGATTTCTAGCAGGATTCCACATTACATAGAACAACATAGAACAACACAGCACAGCACAGAAATGGGCTGTACGCTCAGTACTCCACATGAGCCTACGTCCCTCCTATTCCCTTCTCACTCGTGCGCGCATGACTCCTGCGGAGTCCTCTAGCTCAGTGGGTAGAGCAAGCGCCTCGCAAGCGAGAAGTCCTGGGTTGATTCCCAGGCAGGATGAAACAGTGGGCAAGTTTCATTACTCCACATGCCTCTGTTCACCCAGCAGTAAGTAGGAACCTGGTTGTTAGTCGATTGGCGGATCACTTTTCCAGGGGTAATAATCCCTTCAAAAAAAATAATAATAATTTGTCACTCAATCCATGACTGTTTATGGGACGCTGACTTGCGCAAATGGCCGCCATGTTTTGCCCTCAAAATATAGTCAATTCACTTTACAATGCATCCTGCGAAGTGCTTTGAGATGTCTCGAAGATGTGAAAAGGATCAAATAGAAGGATTATTATGACATTTCCTCTTAAGTACGTGGATGCTTTTTTGCTTCAAACATTGTTTCAGCAGTGAGTCCCACATCCTCACCTCACTGTGTGTAAAGAAGTTCCTCATAAACTCTCTTTAAGATATGCTACTGGCAACCTTATATTGATTCTCCATCATATTTGTCTTACACTTGTGCAGCCAGTGTTCGGGATTTT